GATGTGAAGCACACGGCGCATCCCAGAGTGGGCCCAGTTGGTTGCGCGCGCTTCAACTACGGCTCTCTGGAGAAAGAATCTCAATTCAGGAAAAATCAAGAGGATTCTGAAAGGGTTCATGTGAAATTACAGGGAGGAGTACACTATTCAACAAGAAACGCAGCCTTCAGCGTCAAATTCACAAGCATGTAATGTTAAAGTTGAGACCGCTAAACAATTTTACACTTTTGGAAAGAGAAAAGCACGAGGATTTCGAATCTGCTCCTACTTTTGTACATAATCGCCCCTGAAAGGAGCTATAGTCGTTGGAAGAGAATGCAGCGAAAAAGTACCTTTCGGCGGTACTCGGGCAAAAATCCTCAACGTGGCCATTTTTTAAATACTGGACGTATAAGCAGTTCTAGTACCGTTGATAGAGCAAATCTTCTAGTTTATGATGACGTATTAACTTTTCAGATTGGATGAGTTTGAACGGAGTTATGGCTTCGGAAAGTGTAAAAACTCGTGCTCATCATGAATTTTCCTCGTTAATTGATCTAAATTTGTTATTTCTTATAAATTTTTGTAATTTCAATACTGATTAGAAAGCTCTTCACAAAACTTCCCAAATCTGCTTTCAGATTGAAATTCGTCATATTTGAAGAAAGTTATAATCATTTGAATATTTGTTCAAATTTCAATAGTAATAAGCTGCTCCACGGTCAACGCCAAAGATCAATCAACACACAGCTGGCTAAGGCGGTTACTTCTTTCAACTGAAAGGGGGACGTGTAAATTGAGAGCGTACAACTGTGTAGTACTAAAACTTGATAAGCCTTCCAGAGGAGTATTGGGAGAAGAGATGCTGCCATATTCTGCTTTTTCATGACTAGTTCGTAATTTGGGGTGTCATCACACACAGAGGTTCCGCCGCCAGCCTCCTTCAAGAGTGCGACGAAATAAAGCAGACGGCAGACACGGCAAAGACGAATCGCTCGCAGCGCGATACGTTTTGCGGTTTAGGCGTCAGTGATTAGAGTGTACCACTCTACGTCTCATATCGCACAGCACATACATACAAATTTAAAGGAATCTTCCGCGGAAAAAGCTCCGCCTCCATTACCACAGAAAAACGATACCCCTTAGGCCCCTAGCCTCATGAGCATAGCAAAAAGAACGGAACATAAGCGTTAGTTTCGATAATACTAATCCTACACACAAGACAAAATGATCACTCTTTCCGTGGAAGATTCCTTTAAGGTATCGTTTTCTGTGGTAATGAGGGCGGAGCTTTTTTTCCGTGGGAAATTAATTTAATGATGGACGCTGGGGTAGCCAGTGCTTTTTTTATCTACAACAGTTTTGGGGATGATGAAATAGCCTTCTTCATAGTTCTCGGCCCTCCTGAAGAGGGTGTTACGGTGGTTTTTTTTTTTCCCAAATGGGGGGAACCCCTTTTTTTCGGTCTTTGGAGTGATCACGTGACTACTTCAACTCTGCCCTGTGCTCTCTGCCGCGAAAGGCCATAGGGCAGACGAATAGAGAAGGAGGAGGGGAGGGGGCGTATTTCAAAATTTTCCTCCACGCCTCGCTTGACCCTGTCTGTGATGATCATGGGCTACCCCATCCCACCCACTGAATAGATTTTTCGGCACGAATTCTGCCAGGGGTTTCGCCTTTAATCTCCACACGTTGGAACTTTCATTGACCGATTCACATTTTGAAAAAAAGTCTCATAACTTCTAGAAGCAATGCGAACGATCTGATGAATTTATAGGTTTGTGAGAGAACTATTTATATGAAAGCCATTTATTACTGATCAAAACCAGTTTGAAAATAGTTGATCTCGTCTCCAAACTCTCTTAATTGTCACCGCAGTTGGGGATCTTCAATGCAACCATATCTTCCATAAATGCTCACTTCACGTTCGAAATAGTACATATGGTCCCTGATACCGTAATGCAGGTAGTAGCCGTTGCTGAAAATGAAGTTTTTCATCCGTTTTTCTCATTGATTTCTGATTATTCTGAGGGTGATTTTTCCTCAGAGGTGCTTATTCGGGATCAATCTAGAGGTGGCAAGCGCATACTGCGACTAGCGACTCGTTCTATCATTTTCCTGTTTCAAACGGGCAATAAGAGCGTCTAGGGGGACGGCCAGGGATTGTTCGTCCTTGTTCTAGATTTTGGGCCCGACGTTTACGACTCTATGGAGCCTCTGTGAGTTCGTACCGTATGCTCTCCCGCATGCTAGTCTTACTTCGACTCCGAATCAGGGTCAACCCTACGCTGGCACAAGTACCAACGGGGGGGGGGTCGTAGTTTGTTGAAGTTTGTGGTGGGGGGTCGTAGTTTGTTGAAGTTTGTGGTGGGGGGGGGTCGTAGTTTGTTGAAGTTTGTGGTGGGGGGGTCGTACATACTTGATTCGGTAGCATGAAATTACATGTGATGAGGAGAGGCGCGCGGGAAAAAATTTCCCGTCTTTGGAAAATGCTTGTAGTGGAAATATAGGTAAAAAGAGGTAGAATAGAGTGAAAATGAGGGAAAAGTAAAGGAAATGGAGGAAATATTTGTGGTTTTATTGTGGCCGGAGGGGCTCGTAAAAATTTTGCAAAAGGTCCCAACGATAGGACCGACCCTGCTCCGAATTCTTCTTAAGTTTTGTGATTGACACAAAGCTTAAGGGAATTTGAGACAAAGACTCGTCCACGGTCTGAAAAAAAGAGCCCCGACTTACTTATTAAGGAGCTTCCTTGGTTGACAGATGCTTTCCCTTTTTTCCTTCCTCGAAAGTCAATCAGCATCTGATGCTATATCTGCTAAGGCCTGCTCCAGTCTACTGTGGAATGTGCACCTAACTCCAAATGGGTACTCCACGCCTGAGACCGCATCTTATCCTTCCCAAGGGGGACGCGGCGGAGCGGCACTCTGCTCGCTGGCGCTCTCTCGAGCGAGTAAGTGTAAACTCGAACATCCCAGCTTTTCACGCATGTGAAGTGACTATCCTATGGTTGGGGAGACAGGGTTGCATCATAGGACCAGCCATACCGGTGTCTCTAGACTCGAGACAACGCGACCCTTCAGAGAAAAGAGAGCCTCGACAAGGGGGGGGGGTGGCTACACAACACCCATGAGACTCAACTGTTCTTCTCATAAGCAAAGGAGTCAAGTTAGTATAGATTAACGGCTGTTATGCTATCACCACTATATATAATAAGTTTGTCTGCGTGTCTGTTTGCTCGTTTTTTACGAAATTTGGTACTACCTGAAGAATCTGAAAAAGAACCCATCTGCAGAGTGACCGTCAAGTTTTGGATGGGTAGGCATGGGCCAAGATGTACCAAATACATATCAGCTAGGCAGGGTACGGCAAATTTCGCGGTGTCCACTGCAAACGTTTCGAGTTCGGTTATAAAACAGCCTGAAGACCTGGGAAAGCATAAGTGAAGGTGTGCTTTTCAGTTGGTAACTCAAAGTAGGGAGACCTGGCCGCGGTAGGTGGAGCGTTCTCCGAATGCGCAGAGCATAATGGAAAAATCCATAAGTAGCTTAGGAGAGCCTATGGAGCGTAAAAATCAGTACAGGAAAGCAACTCCAAGGTGTTCTCGGCATATCTGATCTGGGTGGCAGTAAACCCATAGAGGGCGGAGCAGTCCTCACGTGGAAGTGTTTGAAACCCTGATAATAGGTTTCGAGAAGTTCGATGGATTGGGCCAAAAGTGGATAGCGTCCGACAACGAAACGTGAGGTAACAGTCACAGCGTGAGGTAGGCCATGTACCAACTTGTGCGAGTTACTCACAAAAAATACCTCTCCAAAGTCCCCGATGACTGCAAGGAAAAAGTGGATAGAGGCTGGGGGGACGGTGAGGTCATGTGTTGTTGGTGGGGTGAAGCGGGCACCGAAGTGGGCAAAGTTTGCAAGGAGGCATTAGAAAATCGTTGGCCCTGTTTTAGATACGCTCAGTCCGTGTGATGCACCCGGCGGCCAAATTGGTCAATAATAATCTATACAAGCACAATTGTCCATAGGGTATATACTGTATTTCTGAGTATAACGCGATGTGTTGGCACCTTCAAGTGAAAGCACGCGGCAGGGTTACGGTATTGCTCACCTGCACGCATCATCCTCAAACATTGGCAGACCATTGCACACTCGATACAATGCGTTCCGTGTCATATTTGATGGGAACCAAACTTCCGTGCCATGGTGGTACGGCGAGTGATTCAGCAACGAAACACAGGAACGGGAGATCGGTCGAATCGCACACGCCGGTAGGTGAGCCACCTGAATTTATGCAGTGAGGGAGCAAAAGCACCATAATGGCCGTAGGGGACGTTTGAAAAAATGTTTGATGGAACAAACATTGTAACTGCCACGCACTCAAATTCTCTTCAGGATCGCCTTATCTTTTGTCAAGGACCACTCACTGCAGTCGGTGTACAACCCACTAATTTGAGTTTTTCACAATTTAATCAAGCGGCTATTTCTTTCTCTGTTTATCGTTTATGACAAATTGAATACGGGTGTTGAGCAGCGGAAGTTGGCGGTGATACTATCTCCATGGTATGGAGAGCAGCCCTGAATCGATCCCTGCCCAGACTACTCGGTAGCAGGACTTCCACGACCATGGCCCTTTACTGTATGAGACTCGAGTCGAGAACGGCAGACCGCGGGAAAGCGTCACTGGAAGGCGAAAATCCTCAACGAGGCGTAGACGAATCCTCGATCAGTTTTCACCTTGCTCGGTTGCCGCATATCGGGGGCGAGCGTATTATTATCAGAACAGAAATTGAGACCAAAGAGGATTGTAGAAGTACGGATTGCTCCCGTATGACTCCACAAATAGGGATGAAAGTTTAACGCGTGGCACAACCCAGCAAAAAACCACTCAACTCTTTTTATACTCGCTGTTAACATGAAAACAATTTGCATAAAAATTACAGTATGGGTGTAACATTTGAAATAATCGAATAAGATTAAGCTGCACTTACCAAGTCGTACTTGTGTACGATTCGCCAGCTATTCGGTAATAAGCTCACTGTGAGTCACAGCATATTCGTAATTTCCCACTCGCGGCTGCCCAAATGTGATCAGATGGATCCTGGATGGGAAACGTTAAATTTATAGATTGCATTATAAAATTAGTCCTCACCTGTCTGCAACTGATGGGTGTCTATGAGCGAACATAGTGGAGGCGAGGCTGGCCAGTGCACCTCCTAAGGAGTGACCAGTGAATAAGATACGGTGTTGAGGGTATGTCTAGACAAAAACACTAATCTTTGGTTCGTAACGATCCCACGAGCAATATTAAAGGAATCCTTCGCGGAAAATTCTTGCACTCTTTCTCGACATGAATGTGTCAGCTGTGATCACTGGAAATAGCACACAGAAGTTTCACGCATGAAGATTCGGTTTCCGAAAGAAACAAACGTACAAAAACTAACAGGTTATGGACCAATGCGAGAGTAATATGGCGGAGCCCAAAAAAGCGAGGGAATGGAAGATGGCGGTCGCGTGGGGACAGTGGTTGGACGCGTGAGGTCAACCTCTGCGGGTCGATTTTTAATTTCTTTAGAAGAAGGTAAGCAATATTTTAATTCTTAAAATCGTGGATGAGACTATGGAGTCTCAGCCAGTAGTGTTAACGGCTGATAAATAGAATCTGAATTTGTTACGTGAGAGAATTCCTTTGAGGAACAATCGTTTTGGAGGATAATGTTTTCAGGACGTTGGATTACAAAACTCACACTCTACTACTTGTGGGGGCCGCTTAGAATGAAAACGCAGATACGGAATGAACTACTAGTGAAGAAAATAAGAAAAAAAATAATCGAGGACCCTAGAACGAGGATCGTTTTCTGCAAACGGGTGGACTAGTCTAGTGGGAAGGAGTACTGGGCACTAGTCGAGGTGAGAGACCATGGGGTCGGGCGAGACGCAGGCGTTATCGCATTCGCCGCGGTGGGCGTGTACAGATAACGGGGTGTGTATGATGGTAAGCCATAAGTCCCTAGCGCTATTGACATATGTTTTGATTCGCATTCTTCCTAGTGCATACATTTGCAGTAGGGAACGGCGAGGTGACCGGTGTTCAGAGTAATGATGCATAAATGAATGTGGTCGCGGAGTGTGCTTTAAAGTTCTAAATTGATGGCAAGATTCTCACTTTTCTTAGCTTCCTAACCACTGCGTACAGCTCTCTCCAAATCGATTGCAGTGCCACATAGAAATAGTGCTGTACTGATCCGCCAGAGCGTAGCTGAAATATAATTGGACTGATTTAGCATGAATTGGGAACGAAACGCATGGATCATTCGTGAAGGTCAAGCTCTACAGTTCATAGCTGGATGTATTTCGCTTTGAGCAGGGTGTCGTGTACGGGAATAAACAAAAATGAAAATGATGAAAAAAATGAAAATGAAAAAAGAAAAAATCAGAGAAGACGTGAAAATCAAGTTCAGGCGGAGAGCATCCCAAAGACTCTTAAACCCAACAATGGCCAAACTCAATTAGCCAGAAATGTTTCGATATCCCTGCCTTTTTTGCTTCTACTTCCATTACTGGAGCTTCCACTCCTTCTTTCTCCTAAATCAACAGAGCACTAAATAGAAGAGGATTGTGAAAGGCTTTACTGAGAGTTTAACCGCCTCTGAATAAATTGGATTGAACCCAAGTTTTGACACATTTGACAAGATTGAGTTGACAAAAGAATTTGACGGTTTTGAAGAGTTTTGATTCGGGTAATAGATTTCGTGATCTTCGTTACGGATAAGTCGGAGCGCAAAAATATGTAAGAAGCAATCGGTAAATGTCTTCGGTTCAGTCAAAGGCACAGTTCACGGTAAAAAGCAGCCTACTAGGGACGAAGATAGAGGTGGTCGTTGGTGCAGGGATGAAAAAAAAATTATGGGCAGGGAGGGGAGGGGCCTAATTTCTCTGGACCTAGAACCAGGAAATTACATAGACTCCTTCTTTGGCTGCTGGTTTCCACATTGATGCCACTCTAATTTTGATCACCGATAACGCTCTCTCCCTGTTAAACAGCTGGCATCAGACGATCCGTTAGCGGCGCGGGACGGCCATGCTAAACCGCCGGGGCATGTATTGCATGTCGGTCGGCACCCTTAGGGATCCCACCTGCCTTTCGACCTGGCATTTCCTCTTTTTATCTCTTTCCCTTTTTCCTCTCTTGACCTTATCGTGGAATCCTTTAAACTGTAAGTTTGGGTATAAGCGGCGTGGGTGGAGGATGTTAGACGGGCAGGTATTGGTTTTGACGCAGGTTTTTCACGTACAAACGAAAACAGGCTCAACGGGGCGAAAACTATTATAATTTTTTTTGCCACTGAAAGACTTTGATTTTAGAAACACAGCGCCAAAGTACATTTCAAAGCGTTTATCGAGACAAGGTTCTCCAGTCTTCTATTCAAGTTATCTACAGCATGATTTTGGAGAAGGAAGAAATAAATTTGTATGTATAGCCATTGAAGTTTACCTTTTTCTTTGGTTCGCTCATGGTCTCGATAAGTTCAGTGATGAGTTGGACTTTGGTTCGCGTTCCTCGAAATGCCACTATAATCCAGTCCTCTCGCGTCGCCACATAACCCCAACACTGAAATTTAACAAAGAATAGAGAAAACTAAAGAAAACCCCGTAAATAGAAATTGATTCAGAAGTGACTTGTAGATACACTTATGAAGTAGAGTTGCTTAACTAGAATGCGGAGAACTTATCTGAATTTTCAAATTTTAAGGAATGCCAAATGTGAGGTCCAGCCGACAAAAATTGACCAAACCGACAACTATCTCTAACTTTATCTTCCCTCGGGAGAAATCAATCATTACTGTACCCTCTACTTATGCATGACCTCTTCTGAACAGTACACTATTAGGTTTCCCAACAACTCGCGTCGTTCCATTTCCAGACCTGGTTTTTCAACCAGAACTCGACGGTCAAGCACCATTACGTGAGATCTAGGTCAAAA